AGCCCTCGCCACGGCTGTCTCCCAGAAGCATTGCAGAGATGGAGCAGGAGCTCAGAGGGCAGCAACAGGACAGCAGACGAGGCTCTCTCTCTTCCTTGCAGCTGCAGTGACTTGAAAGGACTTCAAATTTCATTTCCTACGCGGCGAATGATAAATTAGCTCAGCCCCATCTCAAACTAATTCTCATATCGAGAGACAAAATGGCATCTGTCCCTAAATGCAGGAAGGTCACTTCACAGCTACGCCACAAGACTGCATAAACGAAGTCTTGGAGGCAACCAGGTTTTTTTTAAGTTCAGAACTGGGCCAGCAGCATCTGCAGTCCTGCCAGTTTGGTGCTGTCAAGTATCAGTATTAGGCCTCAAGCTTTGTAACAATACCAGGCTCCAGGACTTGACAGGCTTTGTCTGAACTACAACCTATTTTAGCTTAAACTTAGCTCTGATCTCCGAAGTTATTTGAGAAACTTTGCTGCACTTGCAACTTCCCCTGGGATCAGATAACTTCTGTCTAGTCTGTCCTAGCTGCAATGTCAGATTGTCCTGGTTTTGGCTGGGATAGAGCTCATTTTTTCTTAGTAGTTGGTGTAGCACTGTGTTTTGGATTCAGTATGAAAATACAGAATCACATTCATATACGAGACTGGAGGGAAGTAGGCAAGCATCTCTGTAGTGCTTAGTTGCTAGCTGGGCTTAAATCATGTCACAGATGCCTATTGTTTGTCCTGTAATTTCAGCCAGGCTTTGGTTACATTATTGTTTAACTTGTTCAGACTTCAGTTTTGCTTAGTTTTGGCCAAGTGTGTGGTTCTAACCCAAAAATCACATTGTATACCAAGGAAAATATTAAGGAATTTAAGCAATCACAGGAATGACTAACCCACCCCATGGATCATCAGGAGAGAACAGTGTGTAGCCCATTAATAAATACAGGGTTAAAATATATATAAAACAATCCCAAGCAGCTGCAAGACCAGGAGGAACCAAACCCCAGAACTTTGCCCAAGCATGATCCCGGATGCTGGCAGCTCACTCTCATGTCACAAGCACAAGGCAAGAGCTTAGCAGCAGAAGAAACAGGTAGATAGTCACACCTGTTGATTTTATTACATTTATAACAATCTCCAACAGAAACTGGGCAATTTGGATTATTACTTAATTGGAAAAAGAAGTGGTTGTCCTTTTTTGAATTATTAAAAGAAGCAGAGTAACAACAATTAACTCATTCTTTGTTGCCCATCATATAATTAGGCATGCAGTACAACTCTTAAAAAGTAATTTGCAAATAAATAATAATAAACCAATCTGATAGGATGATAAAGATCTTTCCATACAACAGGCCTTCAGCTCTCTTCCAGAGCCTAAAATAAGTTACTTGTTTGGAGACGTGCAAAATTTCACCCCACAGCAATCACTGTGCTATCCTTCCCATCCTGCTCCTAACAGCATGCAGCTCTGAATCCCTTTATTTCTATTATTATTTTTGTCCAGCAGTCTGGAAGTCTTAAATCTCAGCTCTGAGCCACACAGGAGCACGACAGCAATGTGACAGAGCAGGTGCACATCTCTCCAGGCTTGCAAACTGAGCTGCTGCCTGTCATGCCCATCTCATTTCAAGTGAACTTTTGACACGTTCATTTGTGGGTGAAGAGAAATCTGCTCTGTTTGGGGTCAAGGGGAGGAAGGCTGAGGAAGAGAACAGCTGCTCATTCCAGAAAATGCCTCTTGGAAATCCACCTGCCACAGGGAAAGAGGATCCGTTTGCTCAGGTGTACGTGGGGGGAAACACAAACCAAGCAGCACTTTGCCAGGGTCCAGACCTTCAGATGCTTTGGGAAAAGCTTCCAAAGGGGGGCAAAAAAAAAAAGGCAGGGGTGCAAAAGTCCTATCCCCTCAGCAGAGTCCTTGCAAAGGATGAAAAAGGCTTTGCTTTTATTGTTACTGCTGATGGCTTTATTTTATTCCTTGGTATTATTTCAGTCTATCTTGTGTAATTCTCTGATTTTGTATAACAGGTTTAGTTTTAGGCAACAAATGGATTTACAGGCTTTGCTGTAGCTTAGGAGTGGGGATAGCTTTTGGGGGGGCTTCTACACTGCTCCAGGTTGTGGCATTAGTTGGAAGCTATTTCCCATTCAAGTCAAGGGTAACAGTAAAGAAAGCAGCCACTACATAAATCTATTATTATCTTAAGTATTTCACATGGTTCAGTTTTTTGGTGAGCTATGATTCAAAACAGTCTGAGCAAAACTAGACAGTGTTGTGCCTGTGTATTTTGGATACAGCAGATTAACATCATCACTGAGGAAATGCAAGGACGCCTGACCTTTTCCCCTTTTATGATTTCTACAGCTTATCAACAAGATGACATTGTACCAGGGCACTATTCTGGAAGATTACTTTTCATCTTGCAGATCACTAAAGTATACACCCTTTGACTCCATACCTGTCATCACAGCCCAAGACACACAATCTATTCCAAGAAATGATACAGCTAAAGCAAAAAAAAAACCAAAACAACAAACCAAGCCACCTCAAAAAAACCCCAAAACATCAAAACACCACCACCACCTCTCCAATTTATGAGATCACTGGTCTAAGAAATCTGTCAGTAATGCAGCTCCCACTATGGATGAAGAGGCTGTGTCAAGGAACTCAAAAAGGGAATGAGATGTAGCAAGGTCAGTCTGAAAAAGTAGCTCATATCTCCAGCAATCACTACAGTACAGGAGCCATTTCAGATCATGCAAGAGGAGCTCAAATGCTTGATTCCTGTTAAGCATAAATTCTGAATGCTTTCTGCATGCAGTGAAAAGGGATTACTAAAAGAGAAAATTAAAAAAAAAAAACAACAAAACAAGGCTTAACTAGGCTATTTTTATAAGGAAGGTGAGGCTGTGGCATGTGTTTGAACAGCATGCCACAGTGCTGAGATGGAAGCTGCATCCTGGCCACTCAGAGATCAGAACAGGGAAAGCCAAATGAAGTTGTTTGGCTCAGACCAAGGGTGTTCTCCCTGCCTTGTTCAACGACAGCTATCAGACTTCCACCAGCAGCTGATCAGATAATGTGGGTGTTGGGTAGGTGGGTGACGGTCAAATTTACCACCACAGCAAACACCCTGTACATTTAGTCTGGAGAGGAGCATAAAGGGTAGAAATATTTCCAGACATAGTTCCTGCACCTCTGGCATTTGCTCATCTGTACTCTAATATGACTCCTAGGATACTTGTGACATTTTCATTTACTGGGACTATCAGGCAGGACTTCCCAGCTGCAGTGGCACTGAGAATCTTAAACAAAACTGCCAGAGGCATATTTAAACTAATAATTGCTTTCACTGTTAATACTACTTAATTATAAAGATTTACAAAACATTTAGCATTTAACTTTCCAGGAGAGGATTGGAGAGCACCTTTTTGAACAGCTCTTTCATTCCACCCTAATTGGTCAACTCAGTTGAAACACCCATTCTAATGCTCAAGTCAGTGAGGAAGAGTCTTGCTTAAAGAACAATAGTACAGATAGCCTTTGTCCCCAAAGGTTATGTAAGACAGGTTGTGCTCTATAGATTATGTTCATCCAAACATATTTTTCATTTTTATCATCACCTTCTTTCCCGTAAAATTTTCCTCCTAAATTTTCCTGCTAAATGTGTTTTAGCACATACACAAAGGACCAGTTGGTAAGCTCAAAAAGCCTGATGCATATTTTAAAAGCAGGGGCCCACAGCTTACATATAGGGAGTCATGTCATTTACAGACATGCTTTCACTGGCCTTTAATTAAAATAAGATCCTTGGTAGAGTTCACCTTCCATTTAAGAATCATAAAAATCAGGCAAACAGATTTTCCAAAGTTCTGCCCTGAGCATTTAGTAACCATCACTGCTAATAGGAGCTCCTCAACCCTTCAGCACTTGTGAAACCTGGCAGCTTACTCCTAGAGCATACACTTGGGTTTCTCACATCAAGAGAACCCAACAGGCCTCAAAATCCTATTTCAAAGAATTGCAGGTGTCACATTTCACTTAAGAATTTCCTGGCTAATAAAAGAGATCAAATTTTTCTGCTAGAGCTCTTTGTTAGATTTGCATGGCCAGGTTTTGGGGAGGGAGGGGCTGGTTACAGAGGGGGCTTCTGTGAGAAGCTGCTTGAAGCTTTCCCTGTGTGTGACAGAGTCAATGCCAGCTGGCTCCAGCACAGACCCATCACTGGCCAAGGCTGAGTCCATCAGGGACTGTGGTAGAGCCTCTGGGATAACATACCCAAAAATGGGGACAAAGCTGCTGCTTTGTGAGAGAAACAGCTCTGGAATCAGGGTCAGTGAAGGAAGAGGAGCAGGAGGTGCTCACTCCACATGCCAAAGCTGCGATTTCCCTGCAGCCCTTGGACCTGAAGCAGCTGTGCCCTTGCTGTGGCTCTGTGGAGAGGGAAGCCTAGGTTGGAGCAGGTTTGCTGGCAGGATGAGCGATCCCATGGGAGGAACCCACGATGGAGCACGGGAAGAATGTGAGGGCTCCTCCCTCTGAGGAGGAAGGAGCAGTAGAAACAAGATGTGATGAATTGAACACAGCTCCCATTCCCTGTGTCCCTGCACTGCTGCAGGGCAGGAGGTAGAGACAACTGGGACTAAGTTCACTTCAGGAAGAAGGGAGGTGGGAGGGATGGTGTTTTTTACAATTTGCCTTTATTCCTCATTACCCTGCTCTGATTTGTTTGATAATAAATCCATTTTTTCCCCAAGAAAAGGGAAGTAAAAGTCTGTCTAATGTAGCAGCTAAACTCAGGAAAAGAAGCCTTTATGTGTCACCAGAGTTCTTTGTCTCAGTAGCTAAGTAATAAGGTAACCTGGGAATCTCAAAGACATGAGGTGCAAGCAGGGAGAGAAATCAACATCCTGTAAAAAAAACCCCACACCATTAGGAAAAGACAGAAAAAATCCTTGCTATTTTCTCTTCTCTTCCCTTCCCCCAGGCACATTTACAGCATCTCTCACTCACCATGGGCAAACGGTGTTAAGAGCATTGTGAAGAACAGCAGCTGTGATGACCACATGACTGTGAAGGAGAGCTTGAAAGTATCCCAGCAAACAAGGGTTCAAATAAAAAGATGAGTGTCCTCCTGCACTTGCTTCCAACACTTCAACTGTTGTTGGCCTTCAATTCACATCCAAAAAGGGGAAAAAAACCCAAACAAAAATAATAATAAAAACAAAATCCCACAGCCAGTATCCAGAGTCTGAGACCTACAAATGAGAAAGGAAAAGAAAAAAACTGCAGTTAGTAAAACAGTAAGATAGATGTTTTCAATCAAGTCTTGCTGCATTTCTTTGCTGCCAGCAGCTGTAAAGGCAAATGTGTCTTCCCCACTCCCTGGCCCTTCAGATGCATGCACATTCCTACATAAAACAGGAATTAAAACTTATGCCTGTGCAGAGAACCAGTTGGTGGATAAGCAGCGCTCTGCCTCCTCTCTCAAAAGAGGGCCCCAGACAGCAGTTTTGAACAAAAAGGCTGAGACTTTTCCCTCCCTTTTGCATTTCTGTCATGCCTCCGACGTGGATGCTAACGGCAAGATAGCAGGCCAGGCAGTGGGATTAGCAACATAGCTGGGGAGCATTTCCACTGATGATATGCCAGAAAGCCTCTCTCTGTTTGGGGCAACCTGTATGGCTTTTAATCACTGCATCTGGACCAGGCTTTGAACCCAAGCAGAGCCCAAAGTCACCCTTATCCTGCAACCAGCTACTTTCTACTTACTGCTAGTCGAGCTCTGCAGTTATTTATTGTATAACTCGATTCCTCAATTTATTGAGGAATTAAAAATAATGGTCCTGTCCATCTCACGCGCTCACAGGAAAGCGCGGGGAAATCTGAATCCGCGCTTGAATAGAAACACTCGCTCATTTAACTGGAGAACGTTTTCCAGCTTTCCATCATTTTAATCTCTCCAGAAGGGGCTAGATGGCCACGGTGACTCAAACTTGGCAGGAAAAAAACAACTACACAGAGTTAAACTGCAGCAGCAGTTTGAAACTTAGCTCCCCACTGACTCTGAAATGATGAGGAAATATGAGGAATTGAAAAGTACTTTACATATCTGTTTTGAGCTCCTTAGACTCTGCAGTCTTCACAGTACTGGTCTAATTAAAAATCTCTCCAAAAATCTCTGATCAACAGAAGTTATTCTTCTCTGAGCACAGAAGCTGTTTTTGCCAACTTTTGTTCTTACCCAAAACCAAGTCTGAGCCAAAAAGCTGTATGAAAAAACTGTGCTGCATGCCATTGTGATGCGGGTATATTTCTGAAAGTCTGGCATGACAAAGTGCCCTTTGTTTTGCTTCCTATCTTTACTGATCAACTAAATAAAACCCCATATTGTTCAGAACCAAAGTCTATAAAGAAGCTGCATTTTTTTTTAATAAATATATCTTGCACTGCCAAGATTTTATTTTCTCACTTGACTCTCCTCCCCAGTCTGTCCCTGCAATTTGTTCACTCAAATGTAGCATTTAGTTTCCATAGTTTTTTTCTCATCTCTGTATCCGGGGTTACTAAAAATCCAAGGTCAATTTGAAGTCAAGTGGCTTCTTTATGGACATCCTTAAAATTAAAACTTTGCTTGAGCTGGGACTAATCAAAATGGTCACAGATAATATTAAAAGTCTGCTTTTCAGATAGGAAAGAGCCTCATGAATATTTTAAATTGTACATTCTAAACAGTGATCAAGTTTTCCATTTATATTTTAGTAGGCTACCAGTACACATCAAACTACAGCACTGCCATTATTTATGCATGCTTTTTCTATAGCATCCTCTGTAAAGTTTTAAAAGTGAGAAGCTTTTTGTGCTACAAAATTTGAAAAGGCACACAGAGATGGGTGAAAGCTATCCAAGCACAGGTACACTTCCCTGAAGCAAAAGCTCAGTCAGGCAGTGCAGGAGCAAAGGTTTGTTTTCGATTTTTATTTGTTTAAACTGAATCAGTTCTGAATAATCTAAGCCTGTTAGAAAGAGATAACATTATGGTGCAGTAAAAGGGTTCTGGGTATAACTGAAGAAGCCACAAATTAATTAGGCTTTCTATCCCAGAGAAGGGATAATTGTCAGCAAAATACTAACACAGAGCCCTTTAAATTTTTTTATCTGTCTATACATTCCTGCATGATAGGGTTCGAGGAATTTTTTTTCCTATCATCTCACAGGTTGAGGCTGAATGAGCAAAGCATTCACACACCCTCTGCAAAGTCCAAACACTAATTTTTGAGAACTAATGTCTTGGAACCACCAGAGCCACAAACACACACTTTATCCTCCTAGAAAGTACATTATTGAGTCACAAAGCTCCTGTGCAAGAGAGACAACAGGACTAGCTCATCATTATGCACCATTTACTCCAGTTGTAAATCTGACCAAATACTCTCTGCCCTGCCATCCTTCCTGCCAGAGATGTGACCTGTCAGGTGGTGTCTGCACACCCTGGCTGGCACAACCTTGCCCTTAAACTTCTGCAAAGCCTTCAACTCAAGCTCACACACAAATATTACCAAATACATAATGTGCCTGGACACATGCCAGCTGCGTTTAACAACACAGGGCACCACTAGATTAACCAAGTACATTGGAATGCTGCATAATTCTGGGTGGGTTTGTATTCCATGTAATCAAATAATCACAGCATGTTTGAGAATTGGGTATCTGCAGGGAAACAGCTACATAGGAAATGAGTGGAACAAGCCTTATTCTTAATGGTCACTCAACTCCCACAAGCAGCAGAAAGAGGCCTGCAAAACAAAATCCACTTCATCGTTGGATTAACTCCAGGTAAAGGGCAGCCAAACAGAGAAACAGGAGAAAACGCTTCAGTATCTGTGAACCGTAATGCAAAGTGTTACATTTATTGATGCAAGAAAGGGATACACTATCAGAGTGAAAAATTTAAGAGCTTGACTTAAGGGGTTTGGACTTGAACCCCCAAAGATGATGCAGCCTGCATTGATTTAAGAGAAAGTTCTTCTGCTCACTGACCTTTATGCCCAAAGGGCTGCCCCTGACACCTTCACAGTCTGATCTGCTGCATCACCCAAACAAGAACTGCGTGCTGGCAGCTCCCAAAAATCCAGCTCAAAGTGCTACTGACAGAATAGGAGAAAGCTAAATAAAGGAAACCAAGGCCTCATAGAGAGGAGATGAGCAGTGAAGTATTCATCAAGGCGTTGCTCATAAAAGAGCATTATAGATACACTGACAATCTCAACATCTACCCAAGTCTGTTCTTCAGCAGTTGATGTCAAGCAGCACATGGAGCATTTTCTGAGCTCATCTGTCGGCAGTCTACAGGGAGGGTGAAAAAGAAAAAGGAAACCAGTTCATGTGGTGAGTGAACAGATAGGCTGAATTCAAAGCAGAATTCAGAGCAGCACAAGCCAAACCTGTCAGAACTCCATTTAATTGCTGCCTTCTTCCAAACACAGCATTTGCACCTGCACAAAGCTGTTCCCTACTATTCTCACAGGGCAAAAGCTGCTCCAGGTATCCAGCATTTTCTAGGCAGCCAGGGGAGGGGAGAGAGTCTCTTACAAAGGGGCCCATGAGCAAAAGCCAGATAAGAATGCTGGGGTTTCCTTATCCAGTTTTACTTGCAGCATTTCCTCCCCACCCCTGAAAATGTGCAGAGCAAAACTAACTTAAATAAATCAAGGATACAAAGATTGATTTATATTTCTTTATAGAATAAAGATTCCAGCACTTATTCTCCTCCTCTAAGTCAAAAGTCACCTACTAAGTAGGAAATAAGCGTGATATTTCAAACAAATATAATTTAAATTCACTATTTACGAGGGGAAATTTTGGAAGTAATTAAACTCCTTGAAGCTGATGGTCCAAGCTGGAACCATGGGTGTAATTCCCCATTCTCAGCATCTGCTACTTGAGATTATTTCAGGCAACGTATTCAGAATTTTGTTAAGAGAGGGAAGAGAAATAACCCAGCAAGAAAAAAAAAAAAAAAATGCAATATCTGCAAAATTAAATTAACTGCAATTTAATGTTAGAAAATTTCCATAAGTAAGAGAATGAGCTGTATTTTGACGCCCATTATGAATGGCTAAACAAAAAAAATTCTTCAATACATTTGGTTCTAAGTTGTTTGCAAAACACTTTTTTTGTTTTGTTTATTTTTTGCAACATTGCTAAAATTAAAGGTTCTGCTCCTCCAGTCCCTTTCCACCTTTATCCTGCTTCAATTCATTTTCCCTGTCAAGTATTCAGGATGTGTCTCCCTGGTCACTTTGTGGTGGCAGCAGCACAGCCTGCCCTGTAAAAGGTAACACAGACATTACCAACGGTGTAACACAGGGGGAGCAGGGCAGGAGCAAGCTGCACTCCTGGCATTTCCACACACACTTTCACTCACAGCCACTCACTGAAATTATGCTACATGGTCATTGATGGACAAATTTTTTTATGTGCATTTTTAAGAAGTCAGGAACACGTTTCTGAGATCAACTGAATTGCCTGTAAACTTTTATCTCTGTCTGCATTCAGCCCAGGAGAAAGTTCATCCTGTAACACAAATACTTCGGAAGTCAGAGCTCTCACTGAGTTCAGAAAAAAACACTTTTGTTTCTCAAAATAATGAGAATTGTCCACAGCTTTTAGCTCTTCATCTTTCAAGTTTGCCAGATGTGAGGATGCACTGTGAGAGAGCCAGGGAGCTTTCTTAGGGTGACAGGACACACCAGATTGTGGGGGGTTCAAACTGCTCACACCTACATGTCCTCTTTCTGTACTGCAGACCCTGCTGCTGCTCTCACACCTCTGCTGAGCCTGTGGACCCTGAAGGAAATGACTCAACCCTCTCACCCAGTATGTGCAAAATGACATGGTATTTCTAAGTCACTTCTTCCAAGAAAGACTTAAAATGAGCACTTGCACCTCTATTGCACTGAATTGCCAGTTTTGCCACTGGATTAATTTGCCAGTGGCAAATTTGCCAATAATTTGCCACCGAATTAATTCCTGTACATTAATATTCATTTCATCCATCTTGTTTGAGAACCCAAGACCATTCTGCTTGTTATTTCCACCCTTATACCTGATGTAGCACTCTGGAATGTAATTTTAAAAGCCTTAAAAACCCACAACAATGACAACAAGGTCTAATAAGTTAGTGTTTATCCTGGATTCTCGGGTATCACTGCAGTGCTACTTACACTTCCCTGAGGAGAGAGGCCAGGGCAGCAAG